AGAGATGAAGGTGGCAATTTCCAAACACTAGTATTGCTCTGTTGGGAATGTTATTCTTTGTCCCTTTGACAAGATGTACAAAGAAATGAGATAACCTGATGACTGAACATCTTGAAAAATTAAATGCTCGCTGAGATTAGAGTCACTGCTCTAATTTGAATCTCGATGTGTTTGATGTCTAGGTACAGAAATGAGGTTCGTGAGCATTATCCTATTACCTGGAAAGTCCAAAGAACTACGGTGTTTCTCACAAAATAAGGCCGGGCCTTATTTTATTTTTTATTTTTTGAGCCCTGAAAAAATGGCTAGGTCGTCTTTTTCAGGGGTGACTTAATTTCCTCCCCCCACGTGCACTCACCTCACCACGAGGCCACTTCTATCAGCTGATAGAAGAGGCTGGTGTCTCTGCCCTCGGGGAGCTTCTATCAGCCAATAGAAGCGGCCTCATGGCAAGGCGATTCTGTCCGCGGGGCACTTCTATCGGCCAATAGAGGTGAGTCTGCCCACAGGGTGCTCTAGCTGAGGCTACCTCGGGGGGCTCCTAAAGGCAAGCTTCCATCCCCGCCCTTCCCCCCATTTCTCTTCATCTCATATAGTTCAAGCGATGTGAGAAATGGTGGGGAATGCATGGTTTAAATAGGCCTAAATTTGGGGCCTTAATTTCACCTTAGGCCTAGAAAACATGCTGGGCCTTCCGGGGGGGGGGGGGGGGGGGCTATTGTTGGAGAAATATGGTATTTAAATAAATACATTTCTGCTAAGTCTGAAAAATCTTGAGAAATTCCTGAATGGAACTATATGCATCTTTTGTCATACATTATTTATTGTGTCCCTGGATTAGACTGACAGCTCCGGTTTTATACCTTGTCTCTGCAGCATTGGCCTCATCTTATCCTCGAGCTGCTATTGAGGCAACCTTATCCTGTTGTTTTCCAGCACCTGCCAGCTAGAAAGACAGCACAGAGGGAGCCTGTCAAGCTCATAATTACGCTGGCAGAGCTCTACAGGAGTCCCAACCCACCACTAGATGGCCATTTTAATAGTGGGTTAAACTTCTGGACTGCAAATACTTTATTTTCTCAACAACCTCTTGACCTGCACAACTGCCTTGCTGCATGTTTTCATGCTGTATAACAATCCCTTTATATAAGGAGAAGCTATAAACCCTGTTAACATACTAAAAGATTTAGTGGGGGGGGGGGACTATGATGTGTACTTCTGGATTAAACCAACAAGCAGCAAGAGAACAATAAAGAAAATTATTGTCTTAATAAAAAATAGTGTTGAGAGCAGGATGGAGAAGAAAACACAGTTGTCTAGCTACGTAAGAGCCTTATTTTCCTGCCACCATGGTCATTGTGATAACTATAAACCTTCCTCAAATAGATGAGGAAGATGAGATCAAGTGTTGCCAGTGTTTTAGATCTCAACCAAGGTCGATAAAATGATGGTGTTAAAATGCTGTCCAGGTGCTTGGAGAAAGAGGAGCAGGCTGACCCTTAATCCCAGCAAGACAAATTAGCTTCATGTAATGGTATGCAGGAGGCAGGAAGAAGATTTGCATTTTAGACAACAGCTTAATAAAAGGCTGGAGGTGAGGAAAAAGCATGAAAAGTGTTTATGAGGGTTTTCTGGACTCTCCCTAGTTTTCCAGGAAAAAAAAAAGAGATCAGGGGAGGCATACTTTCAGTGTTTCAGGATTCTGTTAATGTAATCTTATAATAAAGTAGGATTAGTTCACCTGGGTATGCTTCTTTCCTGGTCTACTTCGCTAGGCTGACTATTCATAAACTATCAGATTCTGAGGTAAAACTGTCTTTAGTTCTGGATGGATTGCATTTATTGCATTATATATTTATTTTGTATTCTTACATTAATTTAGTTTCTAGTTGGAATTTATGAAGATGGGGTAATGCTGTTCCATTAAGATGGTATCTACTGGAGATTTGTCCAAATAGTAGCCAGGACTCAAAATTGATTCAAGGGTACCTCTCACTAAAGAAGCCGACCCTTTAATTAATGTTTTGGGTGTTTTTTTCAATGTTTATACTTTCTTCATCAATTTACAACAGGTAGTAACACAGGTAGTAACACATAGCCAATGGCTGATCTCAGAAAGGGGAAACAGAATAATGAACTGGAGACCATAATGAAATTAGACCCAAATATTTCCTTGAAGAATGCAATGGGTACTCAGTGCTATATTGTCAGAAAATTACATGGATGTTATTCATAGACTTGCAAGGAATTGAAACTATGTGGCAAGAACTAGTGGGCTTCAGATCAGACAAAACCATTGCATAAACATTAAGCAAGTGCTTGAACCTCAAAGCTAAGAAAAGAATATCTCACTCAATCTGCTGACTCTGAATGGCTGGAAGAAAAATTTTAAATTGAATGTATGTGTGCTCATATGTTTTTTTTACACATGACTTGATCTTTTCCGTAATCAACTGATAATTATCTGTACAAAATAAAGGACATTTGCTTTTATTTACATCACCAGAATAAATTTTAACATGAGAAGCTCAGTAAAAAATGAAAATGTTATTTCTTTCTTTACAAGCTTGATGAATCCACTTGTATTTAATCCTGGCAGAAATTAAATATTGAAGTTCTCAATTTCTGTCTTCCATGGATATAATTAAATCACTTTTCATTGTGAATGTTAAAATGACCTATTCGGACGGTAAACAAGTTCTCTATCCATTTTATTTTGGGTCTCTTCTCCGTCATCTCTTGAGTGGTTTTTTTTTTTTAGGTCCCAACAACTCTTCAGTCAATATGCCAAATGATAATAATCAACACGATCAGACTTCCTGGAGTAGGTTGTTTGCTTGCTGCACATACTAAAAATCATTATGTGATGTCACCTTTAATAACTTTATAAAAATCAGCTTAGCAACGTAGACAGATTTAGATTTGTACTGAAGGGTTTTTGTCCTAATTAACATGAGATTGATTACATCACCAATAACGTCCACATATACGCTTGCAGTATGTTGATCCGGTATGTCAAAAGATCTTACAGTTCCTGAAATAAATTATGAGGAATGACTCAACTTGTGACATGAGATGTCATAATAAAGCCTTGCATCTGAATAACAGCTCGGTGATTATCCATGACCTGACACAGATTTTGCATTTCAACCTCTCTCCACACTTTCCCCCCACTTTTTTTTTTTTTTTTTTAGTATATCAACCCTTTCTGATAGCTCATCCACAGGGAATTGAAGCATGCTTTTTTCTCTCCTCTTTTTTTACAGGGAAATGCACGGGGAGGGGGGGGGATGAGTTTAGAAGGTGGTAATATCTGCTTATATAATTTACTTTTTGAAATAATAGTAATATTTTATAAAATTAGTTACTTGGGTGACTTTATTCAACAGCGGGAAATGTAGTGTGGAAGCAAAACCCCTCTGTATTTTCCTTATTAGAGAAGGCTTCAAAGGGAATTGAAATTGTACCTGCTTTTGCTTCTCAAATATTCTCATAATTGAACCTGTGACTGTATAACACTGTGGATATTTCTTTATTCTGAATTGATTGGTCATGCCATCTAGCAGTGAGCCTTTTATCTTTTCTTCCCTCACTTATTTTTTCCAGTTATTTCGATTGCTTTCAAACACCTTTCATCAAAATGACCTCCATTTTAAAAATGGACATCAATGTATCTTTCTAAAACAGAAAAGTGGTTACATTATTGCATTTCATGAACCGTTCTTAAATAAATCTATGGGATTTCTGGAAAATTAAAATTTTATCCCATAATGAATGTTAATTAGCTACATTCCTTGGTTAAAATTTAAAAGGATCTGAATCGTTGTCTTTAGATTGCTAGACAATCTTAAAGACTGCTACAGCATTATAAATCACAGCCAGAGTGTTCATATAATGATTACAGATCCCTAATGTATTGATAGATTGATCGATTATATAACACCTATAATATTGGTACCCTAAAATTACAGTGATACAGGAAAACAGAAGAAACCAAAATCAATCCAGGGATTTTAAGGAATGCAGAATAGAAAAAGTAGTATGGTGAAAAATCACTGCAATAACTAACCTGATAAAATCTGACACGAATAAACCAGAATATTCAAATAAATGTATTAATAAAATAAAATGGCCATAAGCTTGCAGTTGAATTTGGTGTAGTTTGCCTAGCTAGAATGGCAATTTGTAACTGATATTGGCTATCTCAGAAAGCTTGATAGCCATATACTATATGCATTATTCAGATCAAAAGCAGAGAAAGTGCTTTGAGATACATGGACATGCTTCCTGCACATGTTTCACACTTTTTAAAGAAATTGAACCTTTCCCTAGCAGTTGCTTGATTCTCTGAGAATATACCTTTATGTTAAGGAACTGCTGATAAGATACAATTACATTTCACCAGTCACCTTAAAGAAGCTCCATATTTTTCTGGCTCACACAGTAATGAATTTGAAATAAAATACTTCCTTGCTTGCTCCAATTTACTCTGAGTTTCCCCCTTTTTTGGAACCCCCTTAACTTCAGACATAAATATTTCTTGGTATTATTCAGCTGAAATGTAAGACCAGAAAAAAAATACAACTTATTTAAGAAAGTGTAGAGAGGTATGGTGGAAGAAGCTGCAATTTAATTCAATAAATAAACAATAAATAGCGATAGTAATAGCGCTTAGACTTACATATTGCTTCATACTGTTTTACAGCACTCTCTGAATGGTTTACAGTGTCAGAATATTGTACCCAACAATCTGGATCCTCGTTTTACTGATCTCGGAAGGATGGAAGGCTGAGTCAACCTAGAGCCAACCTAGGATCAAACTCCTAGAAGTGGGCAGAGTTAGCCTGCAATAATGCCTTGTAACCATTAGGCTCATAATAAAGTACAACACATCCCTAGTAAACCATAAAAGTTTCACTAAGTAACCATTTTAAGTTCTGACTAAAATTGATTCCTTCTTTAACACCAATGGTGTTTGCTTTTTGTTTCTTGTTTTACAGAAGCACCATTGAAACCAGAAGAAAATCCTGCAGATGCATTCATTGATTCATCCCTCTTTGCTCACTGGGGCCAGGATCTGAGCCCGGAGAACCAACGAACTGCTCTTAAACAGTTCCAGTATTATGGGTACAATGCTTACCTGAGTGATCGCTTGCCACTAGACAGACCCTTGCCTGACTTTAGACCTACTGGGTAAGGAGCAACTTTTGGAAGTTACTTTTTTAGATTTTTTTATCTAAAGAAGAAGGTAAAAATGGACTACTGGATAATATTCTATTTTAATGGCTTGAAATTTATGAAAATTGCAGGTATGACCTAGTCAAAATGTATTTGCATTTGGAAACTATGACTTTCAGAAAGCTAAATGCATGAAAATTGGTATAATGAAATTAGCATTATTACTAGCTAGCTATGCTTATTTTCTATAGTAAATGCAATGTGCTAACAGAGCTTCTTCTTCTTCTTCTTCTTCTTCTTCTTCTTCTTCTTCTTCTTCTTTGCTTTTTCTTCTTTTTAAAATATTTCACATCATCTTTCAAAGCTGAAGAAGGATGTTTCCAGGGATTTTGAAAATGGTTTATTTTCTTAAAGTCTAAAACAATGATAAATATAAATATAAAGTATTTTTGTTTTAGTAACAGCTGTATAGTGATTCTGATTAAAAATTACCAAGCCATGGGTTAGTGAAGCAAGTTTTCTTTGTGTTAGATAGAATGATACATAGTACTTTAACAAGCTGATAATGTTAGATCGGGTAGATCGGTCCCCACAGAGACGCGAGACCAAAAGTGAACATTTAGCTCTTTATTGAGTATACAGTTCTGTACAAGACCTGCACTTCGCGGCAGCCCTTCATATAGGAGCTGTCCGCGGCGTGGCGGCCAATGACAGCGCTTTGAATCTCCCGTGATCGGCTCGGCCAATCGCGGTAGATTCTAAGCGCGCCAATCACGGCCATTTAGTCATCCAATCAGGTTGCGGCCCGTGTGGGCCAATCGGGTTTCAGGATTTGGAGTATGTTAATACAGAACAGATAGAAGACATTTTATAATGTCTAAGCTATGAATTTGATCTTTTAGAATATGTGCAATCCTTTTTTAAAGACAAGAAATAATAAATAATATAATGACAGCAGTTCTTTCCTGTTTGAGCAGATCTTCAAGTTTTGACTCTCAGACAAGCATTAAATCATTATTCCTCTTCCTCCTCTTCCTTCTCCTCTTCCTCCACCCTCCTTTTGTATTTGATAAAAAGAAGAGGTAGAGGGATACGTTATCAGCATACTGATGACATTAAATCTCTGGATAGTTTCACTCAGCTATTTTGTGAAGCTATCATTTTGGAATAAAATAGAATCTTGTGTGGAACTCCACAGTATAAATGCCACAGGGCTGAGCAAAAATCTCATCTTTTGGGAGAAAGCTGTCTAAATTGAAACATTGCAAAGTTCTTCCATCCGCACCTAATTTAGACAGCCTCTCCAAAAAGATAACTATGGACAAGGTACTGAAAGCTGCTGAGAGCCATGGAAGATTCATAAAAAAGTACAATTTTCTATCTTCAAGCACAGTGTGACTAGGCAAATAGAACAATACATTATAATTAATCAAAACCAAAAATAAAATTGGACACTTCTTAGGAAAATAGGAATATATGAGCCCAAAGCTTCCTTAGAATACTCATGTAAGGGCTCTTGCGAATAAAACTTAACTTCTAATAACTGTGTGGACACATCTGGGGTAATTGGTTTGCCATTGCCTTCTTAAAGCTATCGATGGTAAAGAGTTTGTCATGTGGCTCTCTTCCTTTATGGAGAGAGAATGACTTAGTCAGAACTTGATCCTTACAGGTCAGAGATAATAAAATAACGAAGACTGAAAAGAAACAAATGATGGTAGCTCAGTCTAGGAGACATGTTATATAAGATGGATATTTCATGTACTATATCTCTTTTAAATGACGAAGGAAGAGCACAGTCTTTCAGATACCTCCATATCTATTGTCATAGTGGTCAGCGGATATCTTGGTACAGGAGCAGGCCATGGAAAATTGGATTCTAACACATCCTACCACCAAAGTTTGTAGCAAGTAGCTATTTTTAGATAGTTTGATTTTTCTGATTTTTTTTAATGAAATAAGTAAAGTACAATAAGTATGTTCAACTCTCTCCACAAAAAAGCTTGAATATGCTGACCCTATTCTCTTCAGGGACATAATCTTGCTATGTCCTACAATCCTTGGAGGTCTTAACAATGTGCAGTCTTCTCACCCATAACTAGCTCTCCATCTTTGTGTTAAACCATAATTAAGTATAATGTTGAATTCATGTCTATATTTTTTCTATTAAAAGTTAGTGCTGTGGTTCTGGTTTTTTTTTTTCTAAAATTCTAAAATGCAATAGAATAGGGAAGTGTATTGCACTATTAAAAAACCTTTTTTAGTAGTAGCCCATCTTATCTCAAAAGGCAGTGATTTAAAAAGTTTATTTTTTGATTAAAAAATATCAACATCTTTTTTTATATTAGTTTACTTTGTAATAGTTAGGTGGCCTGTCAAGTCAACTAAAATGATATTTCCTCTTGATATCTCAGATTTAGTTGATACAGTGTTTTAATTGCTAATAAGTTCATACTCTTCTTTTTTTTAATTTTTTATTTTAACAACAAAACAACAAACATAGACATACCACATAAAACATAAAAATATCATCCTTCTTCATAAATTTACAAACAGTGCATCGATTGGTTTACCACTTTTTTTTTGTGCAACCATTTCCTAGTCACTAATATAATTATATTACATAATAGCTTTTATTGGGAATCTTACCTGATATATATAATAAAAATTTGAAGTATTTGATTGTAAATATATTAACAGCGGCTAGGATTGTATTTGCTAAAAACTGGAACAGTGAGAAAACTCCATTAGAGGAAGAAATTATTAAGAAAATATTGGATTGTGCTGAAATGAGTAAATTGACATTTGAAATTAGAGAACAAGAAGATAAAAAATTCTATGAAGTTTGGGATCTTTTTTATCAATGGTTAGATAATAAAACATAATAATAGAATATTCAGATTTAGCTTAAAAAATTTTTTTCCTTTTTTTTTCTTGATATTATCTTTATAAAATATTATCAAGATAGATTTGGTATGATCTTATGATTTATTGCAAAATAAACTAAGTAAACTATAGTTATCACGTTAAAATATGAATTAACAGAATTATAAATGTTTTTTTTAGTGATGATATTAGGTTATACAATTATTGATTGATAATATGAGCTATTATGTAATATAAGTTCATACTCTTTAACTGTGCTAAATCTCTTATTAATATATATGTTTCATATACACATATAGAAAACTGATACTTTATAAGATGAAAAATATAACTTAATGGGTGTTGTAATTGAAAGCTTCTGTGTCCATGAAGGGCAATGGTGAGAAAGTGAATTCCTGGTGGGCAGGAAGAATATAGGCAGAATCTACTCATTGCTCTTCATTCTCTGTATGGACCCTGTGACCAGAAACAATCAATGATAACACATATGGATGCTAGTATAATCAGTCTTGAGCAACTAATATAGGAATGGAAGATGTGTCTTAATGATGTTATAATGAAGCTCAATATAATGAAGACTAAATACCTTGAATGTAGTGTCAAGACGTTCGGGTCAGTTTAAACCGAAGTCAAATAAGATGATCCACTACCCATTCATGACTTCTAATCACTGCTGGAGGCCCAAATATGGGTCAGTATTAGTGCCTGGATGGAATGGTCCTAGTCAAATAACAACAACTGTCTGCATCTGAAATTTCAGGTCTGTTGAAAAGTCATCTGATCCAAAGCAATGCATGCAGTGGAATGTTGGTGATGAAAACCACATGAGTAGGATCACTGGTTACATAACCAGACTAAGCCATGTGCCAAATGAAATATACAGAAAACTTTTAGTTTTGCCTTCATAATTGAGCAAAATGCAATAATCATGCCTAGCAGCAACAATTCCACAGCAAAAAGATTTCTTCTATTAAATGTAGAAAATTGCTGGCCAAAGAAACAACTAAAACTGTGCTAACTTGACTGATTAAAAGATGATGCATGCTTTGTGAAACTCAAATGTAGAGATGCTGCAGGCTGTGTGAAATGGCATGCAGACTGGAAATGACCAGATGTGTAATCAAGTAAGACAAATCCTAAGAGGAAATAGAAGACAATGACAACTTTGTTTCAGTGGTTATCAAATATGGAATTGATCATGAGAAGAATCTGTGTAACCAATGCATGCCATAGCATTGCTTCTGTTATACAGGTAAAGTCATTGAAAGAAACTGCCTTTTGTTCAAGGGATATGTCTGGTGAGCTGCTGTTCATATCTCAAGTAAAGTAAAAGTATTGGTCTGCTTGAGAATAGATTACAAGAAAAGGTATTTGAAACATACTATACTATTAGATATTCATTCCAGTCTGTATCTGTTTAACAGCATGTTTCTGAACAATCCATCTTCTCTTAAAAATGTAAATTAATTTAGAAAAAGCCTAGTGTTAACAAGACATCTGTACTTCCATTATCAAATTATGATATTAGTTTAGGGTTTTATATTTTTCACTGTAAAAAAATTAGACGGGAAGAAGAAACAACACAATATTATGGGGGGAAATGGGGATATTGTACTGGAAATGGGTATTTTAAATAAATACTAAGTATAGCCAACATGTTGGCTATAGTTCTCATGAAGAAAAGAAGGAAAATTGGTATGAAAGAAACTGTGATAAACAATCATTTAAGATTGGTCCTGGGAAGTTGCTGTGGCGATGGCATCTGGCCTCCCTGATTGGGGGGTTTATGTCTCTGAGTATGAAGCTATCACCTGTGCCAGTAAGCATGAGTAAACCGGAGCCCAAAAACGCTGGATTCTGAAGCCCTGGAGCCCTAATCATGCCGGCGGAGCTCCTACTAACCGATCCGGAGCCCTCCTCACCTTCCCCAGAGAAGCTCTTTCGATCGAGCCCTATTAACCACACCAGTGGAGATCTTGAACTGGATCACTTGGAGCCGGCGGCGTGCAAGCAACGTACCTTCATTTAAATCCCCCACATAGCTGATCGAAGTATCTTCCATGCCAGACAACATGTCTCCATTAATATCCCCCACACAATTTCCCTGGAGCCACATTGAATAGCTGGCA